CTCAAAGACGTTACGAAGTCGTTGTATGTGTTCTGTTAGAGAAGTGCTGAAAATGATTATGTCATCGAGGTAAACTAAACAAGTTTCGTTTTGTAAGCCTCGGAGAACGTTATTCATGACTCGTTGGAAGGAGGACGGAGCATTTTTAAGTCTGAAGGGCATTCGTTTGAATTCAAAGTGTCCGGTGTCAGTGGAAAAAGCTGTTTTGGAAATATCACGGGGATCAAGTTCGATTTGATGAAATCCATTGGCCAAATCGAGTGTGGTGAAGTATTGCGCCTTGCCTAATTTATCCAAGATATCGGAAATATTGGACAATGGGAATTTATCGTCAACCGTTTTATCATTAAGTTTCCGATAATCGATTACGATTCTCCATTTTCTTTTTCTAGTGGCGTCCATTTTTTTCAGGACAATCCATATAGGACTACTCCAAGGTGACGTAGAATGCTGAATAATGCCGTTTTGTAACATTTGGTTTATTTGGGTGGTAACTTCTTGTTTGTGGACTGCAGGGTATCGATAGGTTTTGGTAAATATAGGAGTTTCATCAGTGAGATTTATTTTATGTTTAATTTGGTTGGTAGAAGTTAAGGGCGAACCTTCATAGAAAAAAATATCACGATACTGATAACAAAGGTCTCGAATGGCTTCGTATTCTTCAGTAATGCAATGAGATAATCTTAAATTTTTAAGATTTTGTTTTTGCAAGCTATCGAAATGGTCATTATTATTAACGTTATAATTGTTGACCTCAATATTTTCATAGAAATTAATCTCTGCGTCGTCAAGTAATTCAATATCTAGTGGCTTATCTTCACAGGGTTTTCGCGTGGATTTAATATGGTCGTTAATGCAAATGAGTCGACTATATTTACTAAAGATTCTGGTATTTCAGCGACACCAAAGTCTGTATAGCTTAAATTACCTATACCATTTTGTTCACTAACTGGTACTTTTATTTTTTCACAAGTTCGAGGCGGAATAATATAATCAAATGTTTCAAAATGATGTAATGATTTCTGGGGTTTCAATTCGCTTTGAAAATACAAACGAAACATTGCGTTTGGCGTTTTCAAGTATTTATTTTTTAGATTAATTTTCGCACCAATTTGTATAAGGAAATTTGTTCCTAATAATCCATCAAATTTTGGGGAAAAATCAAATAAACAAAATTGGTGATTTCCTTGACAATTAAAAGAAGGAAATATAGGAATTTTTACTACCTCATTGTGAATTGATGTGGCATGTGCCGTACGCACTGAAAATGGTTCAAAGTCGATTGAATTTGGTTATATTTGATAGGCTAGATTGGGTTTGATAAAACTTTTTCCGCTACCAGTGTCGATGAGGAATTTGGCATTTAATTCGGGTAATATAAGAACGGGTAAATCGGAATTAGAATAATTATTTAGATTTATTACGTCACATTGTTGGTCGGGGTCACTATTTGAAAATTTTCATCATAACCTGAGTGTGAACTAACAACTCGTTTCATACATTTGTTGAAAATAACAATTCCAAATCTAAAAAAAATGTCAGGTATCTATCAATTGAGTTGTGTTTCGTGCCCTTAATGCATTGGTCAAACAGAAAAAAAATTCGAGATGAGATTCAAAGAACACCAACGAAGTTTCATGAGAAACAAGAAACGATTCTCATTGTGACGTCGGTCTCAACAATCACGAATTCGATAACTTCAAAAGCCTACACCTGCACCTACTAGAAATCTTTGAAACTTATTTTTTCTGTATGGAAACTAATAAACACAAAAAGGCTATTATATTATTAAATGATCAGGTGGACATGAACGGTTCCCCATTACATGAAGTAACATTAGCCCTATTTAGCATAACTTTTAGTATTGGGTATAAAAATTAGTTAATACAGGGTAATTAGCCTATTCAAAGTTAAAATAAAATATGAAGCTAAAAATTTGTTTGAAGGTACATTATGGGTAAGTAAATAAAATTTAATAGCCTTGCACCTTGTGCGTGATGGTGGGAAGCCGCCATTGGCCGCCATCTAAGAAGTGATAAATAAAATTAAATTAAAAATTAGTGTCGCTATTTCTTTTCCATTTTAAAAATAAATCATAAAACCAATCAAATGAAGTGTCAGAAATGTACAAAAAATACTAGGGAGAAACCATGCTTCACGTATTTCCAGCCGCCACCATTTTGCTGGTCTAAGTGCCGGTACTTTTGCTCTCATTTGACAGCCGTTAAAAATAATCAGGGGTTAGAATGTGCTCTAACCTCATCATACTTATAGACCTCGGCCCATGCAAAACTTTGACAACCTATCAAATTCGTTAATCAAGAGCAAAAGTATCGGCCCTAAAGCTATCTGAATCTTGACCTAGCACAAAAGAAGACTCCGTTGAAATGCTTCCATCTGCATATTTAAGTAATTGTCAAAATTTGATAAGATTTAATATAATTTCCATACCATGAAAACTGATTAATTAGCTAATGTAGATAGTCCAGGTTCGTTTGGTTTACTCTTATGATACTGTCACAAATTTGTTGTGCTTCAAGCACTGGTGCACCACTGTGTTTGAAGCACAAAATTTTCGGCTAGAACACGCGTTTGATTTGAAGCGCACGCGAAAGCTGGATTGCGTGCACAAAATGGCAAGTTGAAAAGCTTATTGTATGTCCAGTTACATAATTATCATCCAGGTAACATTGATAATAACAAATTCGAGTTGCAGCAGTCCTTCACCTTCTTCAAATCTGCATCCATATCAACGTTTAACAGAGTAAACTTTTTCAAAACTGGCAGTAAATCGTTGGCAGAAATGAGAAAAAGAAGAGTTCCCAGTACAGAGCAGCTCTCTGGTATCCCAGCATTGATGCTCATCACCGTCTTGAAATCCCAATGTCATCGATCATCAGAAGTAGTAGTCAAACCACCTCAAAGCCTCACCTCTACAACCATACCACTCTAGCTTCCACAACAGAATGTCTGAACGGTTTGAACAAGTCACAAAACACCGCCGCTGCTAGGGAATTCTGAACTGCTGGTGCGCTCAGGGAATAGGACGTCCCAGAAAGATTGTGTCTAACAGGCTGGCTTTCAATGCTAGACTAGCATCATGAGATTTAACTGCGATGTGGATAACCTCGGTTTTTTTTTCTGGTTAGGTCTGTTGCTAGGAGAGTTTATTTTGTACTTGGGGAGTCACGTTTGCGGTATGGTTCACCGTTTTGGGGACTCCAATTTTGAAGATTTCTCCAATAGAGAGAAGCCACTTGGCATCTCTTCCGGTATAATTTTTGGGTGCCTATCAGCAAGGGATTTTTGACGATTATGCTTTCCAGCAAGACAGTGCTCCATCACACTTGACAGAACAGAAGACAATTTTTGTATGAATATTATCCAATACATAGATAAAAAATGTAGCCATCTAAGTGTCCAGATCTAAATGATGATGAGACGTGAGAAATGAGGCAACAAGTAGAAATTTATCAACAATAGATGAAAAAAAATCTAGTAGTTTGACGTTTGACACACGGTTGTCTAAAACTTCCTTATACACTTATTACGAGACCCCGGCCAAAACTATATTCAGATACTCCTTATATATCTGAAAATTGGAGTAAGTTTGAATATCTCAGCTGCCAATGTTAAAATTGCAACAAACATAAAAATTACAACCAGAAAAGAACATTTTTATGTCAAAAATATGACCACGCCGCGCCGCATCGTCTTCTATTCTTTTTCCACCGCCCTGCGTCCCCACCACCCGGCACAGGCTGCAACACCAGAAATTATGAATTACTATACTTAAAGCTACCCGTTCACCAATTTCTAGCTTCATATTTTGTTTCAAGAAATCTTTACTCATAATTGGCTAATTACCCTGAACTAAGTTTGTAATGAGTCATTATCTTAAGTATTATATTTTTATGCCTAGACCAAAATACCTACCTCCTGTATGAGCTAATCTTAAAATGCACTTGAATAAGTAGTCATGTATTTATTTCTAGTTCATTATTTCCTATTGTATGTGTGTTTCAGTAAGACACAGTGGGTACTAATGGTTATTCTTTATATAGAAAAATATTTTCTATCCGCGCCAAAATGTCTCTGAATGTTTACATGATTTTTTTTTTATATGCATTTAGATTTATTGATTATGTTTATTTCCATTATTCGAAACTTTTAGATATCCAGTACACAAAAACGATCCAGTTAAAAGACTGATGACATGTCTTGTACAGGATGTTTCTAATATATTGACACCCCTCTGCAGCCTTCACTTTACAGGTAGAAGTAATAGGAGGTAAATACGAAAGTTGTAGAGATTTAGCTAAATTTTTAAAATCCATCGTCAGAAACAAAAATTGAATACTTCTGGTTCTATATTCTTCCGCAGAAATTTCTGATTCCAAGAATACATAGTTTGCCTATGTTTGGTTGTGCCGTATCCAATATATTTGGCTCTAGAAACTGTGAAAATACTATCCTACCGACAACCGCCATTGTCAAATCCATCGTAAACTACATACATAACAACATAACCCTAATCTAAATCGACCTGCTCCAAGCTCGAAGTGCTCGTCAGTGTCAAAGGAATTTTGTTTTCGAGTGACGTCACACTTTTTGGCGCGTTAGTCGGTCGTTTTAAATGGCAATGTTTCGAGCGTAACTTCAATTATTCATAAAAAGTTACCGGCTGATTTCTCATGCTCGATATTTGACATGACTAAGTCTTTAGTGATGTAGAACACATTTTTGAAATAAAAAAAGATTTGCAAGTTTCCTATTATTATACCTTTAATTGTCAAAGGAACTGACACTTTGACATTCTAAGGGCAGGTATTATAAAACTATTTTGACAGAAAACTAAAAGTTAACATCTGAATTTTCATAGTAATTCCAGCAGTTAGCTTCTAGTTTTCTGTCAAAATAGTTTTATAATACCCACCCTTGAACAAACTGTTACAATCCTGTTTTTTTTTTTTTTTTTTGTTTTTTTCTGTGAACGCCAGAACAATAACATGGCAAACAGGTCAGGCGCGGCACAACGACCCGCCGGTCAGACCCAATTAGGCAAATTTTGCAACTTCAAGCTGGTCCTTTTGGGCGAGAGCGCCGTCGGCAAATCGAGCCTGGCGCTGCGTTTCGCCAGAGGCCAATTCGACCAGTTACAGGGAAGTACCATCGGAGCCGCTTTTTTGACCCAGACTCTTCGTCTAGACGATACGACTGTCAAATTAGAAATATGGGACACTGCCGGCCAAGAACGGTAACTGTCATTACGCGAGTTCGGTTGATCCTCCTCGAGCAAAAATATGACAATATCATTTCACCAGTTTTGTATCTTTAAATGAAAGATCACGTGAGCTTCTGTCAACAATGTCGCGGAGGACTAACCGAACTCATTTATAATATGTGTTAAAATAGTGTCAAATGTCAATGTAGGTATCACAGTTTGGCGCCAATGTACTACAGAGGGGCCCAAGCAGCCATTGTTGTTTATGACATCACAAAGGCAGATACTCTTGGTAAAGCGAAAATGTGGGTTGAAGAATTACGACGTGAAGCGAATCCCAACATCGTGATAGCACTTGCCGGTAACAAGCAAGATTTGGACAACAAACGAATGGTGGAGTACGAAGAGGCGGAAGCCTACGCGGACGTAAATGGGCTTTTGTTTATGGAAACTTCGGCGAAAACGGCAGTGAATGTCAATGACATCTTTTTGGCGATTGGTAACTGACACAAAAATTTTCTAGCTACAATTTATTTATCCATTGTTGCCTTTTAGCTAACAAATTGCCAAAAAACGAACCAAAGGCACGTCAAACTGGCAACAACGCGCAAGGCAGGCGGCTGACAGAGGGCGACGCTGGTCCAAAAATGTTGGGAAACTGTTGCAAGTGATGCCGTCATCACGGTGGAGTGTCGTATTTGTACTTTATTTATTTATTTAATTTTTTTCCTCTACCACAAATAATTAATTTATCAATTGATGGCATTTATTTTTAAAAAATATCCTGTCCCTTCTTTAATTATTGATATTCATTTTTTTTTTAATTGTGATTCCATCATTTTAAAAATAAGGTTATGTAAAAAGCAATTCTATTCTAGCTGAAAAAAAAATTAGGTGTGACTGTTTCATTTTAACGAATAAAAAAAAAATCCTAATTCAATTTTCAAAGTGCGCCCATGAATTGGTGGTTTGTTCCGATCACAGAAGTGCACTACTTGATCTATTGAGAGAAAAATAAGCAAACCACTTCATTCTGCACACACACAAAATTCAAATACAGTGTGAGTCGACAATAAAAACAAAATTCAAATCCACACACTGAAACAAGCCGTACATAATAATTTATATAGGTACCTACTTATAGTTTATTCTCCACGATAATAAATAATACTTATACATATTTTTATATTTTGAAAATTGGAGGTGATTGTACAGAATTTCAATATTTTCCATTACGCTAACACAAAAAGAAATTTATTAATTATTGTGTATATTTTTTTATTTTTGACAGAAGGGCCTGTCAAATATTGAAGGTGTGAAAGTCTTCTGTCAAATTTGAAAACAAAAAATAATTATAGAGCCTCTAATTATTATTATTATTATTATATATTATAACTACACCTTTTTTTTACGTTCTATTATTATTTTATTTAATTCTTAAAAATTTAATAGAATAATAATTTCAAGCGTCTTGTTTAAGTTGTAATTATTATAATTGAATATTATCAATATGAATTTTATGAGATGTTTTTTTTCTTTCCTTTTTGTCTTATTAGGTTTGACAGACGTCAATGTCATTTGTCAACCAAGTAGTCTTGAATCAAGGTTGTTTGAAAGAGGTAGGTTGCCTGATAACTTTCATGGCGTCATCTGGGGTGCCTAAACCTAATGCTAATCTCCATATTAGGCACCCCAGATGACGTCATCTATTTCCCATTGCCAGCCAACCTATCAACTTTAGGAACCCTGGTCTTGAATGACATTAAATGCATTGTCTATCTGTTAAAGCGACTGGCTGGTCATGGTTTTTTGGAAAACTTGACAAACGTGAAACATTGTTATGACTCGAGGCTGTTTGAAATAGGTAGGTTGCCTAATAAATTTTACGACGTCATCTGGGTGCCTAAAATTAATGCAAATCTTCATTAGATCCTCCTGATGACGTCATCTGTTTACCATTACCCGACAAGTGATAACCTATTAACTTTAGGAACCTTGATTAAGACTGTGTAGATTTTAGAGCTTAGATTTTTTATCAACGACTAGATGACCCGGTGAACTTCGTACCGCCTGGAATTGATTTGATAGTAACTCTTCATAGGCGATTATAAATCCTAAATAACCTTCCAACTCCAATTCATTGGGATCGATGATCGATAAATATTAACTGCATCTGCGGTCTGGATTTTGTTTGGTTGATGAATGCAGCTCGTTTATGAATTACAAACAAATTGTTATTTAAATGAATTCAATGTCTTTCATGTACATGAAACATAAAAACTAGTTGACACAACCGCACGGAATGAATAACAGATATGCATGAAGCAGCTGTCAAACAATAGGCCCGCCTAGGTCCGCCAATCTGTGGATCCGCCTTTAGAAGAACGGAGCTGTCAAACTTTATGTCCGTCAAAAAAATATATATATATTTTTTGCGTCGGGCACTAATCCCCAAGCCCCAAATATAACCATTCCTTGCAGAACGTGGAACACTATCCATACCTTGGGAGCAATCTGGTAGCAAATGCAACCATTGACGCTGGAATCCAACATCGCTTGAAGTGTGCTAGCGCAGCGTTCGGGCGACTTCTAGACAGAGTCTTCAACAATCACGACATTAGCGCTGAGACGAAACTTCGCGTCTACATTGCAGTTGTAATACCAACACTTACATATGGCTGCGAAACATGGACCACCTACAGAAGACACATGAAACGCCTAGAAAAATACCATCAGCGATGCCTAAGAAGAATCATTAGTGTTTTAGAAGAGGTCAAAACAACTAGCATGACAGCCCTCATCATTACGCACCAACTTCGCTGGACAGGTTACCTCGTCCGCATGCCCGAAACACCTCTTTATCCACAAATTCTTTACAGTCAACTGAAAGAGAAAAATTGAAATCAGTGGGGAGTGGATGAAGAATGATCTATGTTTTTTTTTCTGGTGTACGCATCCCATGACAGATTTAAAATGTCCAATGTCGGTTCAAATTTACTAAGAATGCAAAATGAAACTTCGCTCTTTCCCAATTAAATGAGGAATGGTATCGTATAAACTGTAGGGAGGATTGGGGAATCAGGAACACACAATGGGCGTTTGAAAGGAGAACTCTAGAAATGTTGTAGAGAATAGCAAATATTGATATGAAAAGAGCACGAGAAATCCTTGCGCAGAATGGTGCACATTTTGAACAGATAGTGTTTTAAATTAAATAATTCTTTTCCGATAATTCACAAAGTGCATCATCTTGTCGACAGTGTGAAAAATCCAATCGAAATATTTTCCATATGGAAAATTCACAGTACAGGCGTTAAATACACAATCCATTGCAATCTCTTAATACTGTTATGTAGTAGTAGGTTGTATCGCTTCTAGATACAGCTAGAATACGCGATATTTGTAAGACTATAAGGACACGACTTGCTATCAGGCGCGAAACTCTAACGACCGAGTCACAGCGGTATAAATATTCAAACAGAAAGTTCAGGAAATTCCACACTTAACTCGCTGGCAGCACACTAGACTAGCGGAGAATCTTCCAAAGTTGAAATGCTGATGTGTGGAAGTTGATAGGATAATACCCAGGTGAGAAGTACAATCTCACACTGAAGAAAATTCAGGCTGCTCTTGGGGAAATGAAAGATTCCATTATACCAGGAAAAGCAAACACACTCGCAACCAAACTATACGCGACACATTAGAACAATGACCACCTGACGGTCTTGAAATAATAAGAGCGGGGCCGAAGAACATAGTGATAACCGGAAGAAATTTGGGTAATGTTGACGAATATGTATAGTCCTGCCATGTCATTAAAATAGAGACATAAAACCAAGCGGTGGAGGTGAAGCGGAAAATCGAATTAACACTGATAGCGTTGGAGCCATATAAACTACGCATCAATCGAACTCGAACACCCAATTTTTGGCCACTGTAACTCAAAATCTAGCAGGTCGATTTTATTCAAATTTTTAGGAGTGGAAGGCTGCTCTAATTGCTATTTAATTTCCAGTTTTTAACAGATTTCCGTCCACCTGCTACAAGATACAGGGTGAAACATAAGTTGGCGATTTTTTGCGAAAGTTTGTGTTCATCCCATTCTGCTGGAGGGAGGGTTAGGTTTATTTTTGGTATACAGTTTAGAAGAGTACCTTAGTACCTCGGAAAGTTTTTGAATATCGCAGCCCACTACGATTTTATCATGATTTATGCGATTTTATGTGAAATATAGCTTTTGACGTCGTTATTTCTCTTCGAAGCAATTATCTTCAAGCAGTGGCGTATTCAAGGGGGGGGGGGGCAAAGGTGGCAATTGCTCCCTCCAGAGCTACAACTTTTTATTCCTTTTATTTCTTAAAAATATGTCAAATAATAAAAAATAAATTCGAAAATGTAATAAAATTGAATCATTAAATATTATTTTTTCCAACTGCTTAAACAGGTAGCTTTTTTGTTCTAACATAGAACAATTTGTTTTTTTTTTTTTGCTTGTACATATACATATTGCAATAGAGAGTTTAACTTTTATGATATTATTTTGCATTTGCCAATAATACAGGGTGTTCCTAAATATCATGCACAAACGGAAGGAAATGATTCTTCTGTTTTTTTTTTCATAACTAAAATTTTCAATAAACATAAGTCCGCAAACGCTTGGTTACCGATCTACAGGGTGTTGAAATTTCAATATTTTTCACAGCGCCTGCAATTTTTGAAGGATTTAGCTCAAATTTGAATTTTAGGTTACGCAATAGGAGCTTAATGATTGCACATGTAAAACTTTTGCCAGAATCTACAAAGTGATACTTTTCCAAGGGTGATGCCCCCTTTTCTGCCCCTGAACTTTTTTGTGGTACCTACGCCGCTGGTAGATTCTAAAAAAAACAAATCAATGTTTCTACCTTATTTGAAAACTTTTTGTTCTCTTCTAGTAACCAGAAAAATAATAAAAAACAATTCTCTGTAATTAAGTAGATGAAACTAATTTCTTTGGAATGTTTTAGTAGGCTTTATTTGGATTTTCTTTTGTTTCTGGCAAACGTTTGACATTTGCAATCATTTTGCTCCTATTGTGTAACCTATATTCTAAATTTGAACTAAATCCCTCAAAAATCGTAGGAGCTATAAAGAGACGCCATTAAGATGTGTGGTTTTAAAGACTTTTGGGCGTAGCACCTCAAAAAAAAAATTGCGCCTACGGCGGGCATACCTGGTTTGCCCCCCCTAGAACCTCAGGCTGGATACGCCACTGCCTTCAAGGGTCTGCAATGTCTCTTCTCACAACTTGATCACTGGTTTTTTTCATCTCTTTTCGGAAAAATGAAAGGCTGCCGTAATACTTTACGACATATGTCAAATGTTTACTTCAAACGTCAAAACAAAAACAATATTAGTCTAGCCAAATTTTACTGCTTGGAACATGGACGCTCTTGTAAACGAGTAGACACAACAACTTGATTATAATAACAAGCTTATGATATAGCAAAAGACCGCTCATAATAGTGCTCAGTGGTTTTTTAGCTCGGGGTGGTCCTTAATGTTGGTACAGTTTAGAGAGGCCGCCACTAGTTTGTATAAAATTGTTTTGGATATTAAATAATAGCCAAACTAGATACTAATTTGAAAAAATAAAAGCAATGACAAGTATTGAAACCGTTCATATACCGTAAAACGGGGTTACTTTAGAACAGCTTGGTGACTTTGTGACACATGGTAGTGGGCGCACCATATCCTCAACAGTTCGCGCATTTCTGAACCGACAGTCTCGCGATTGCGCTCAAGTCATTCCAAAAAGTGCGCGAACAAATTAGTACATCAATTAATATTATGAAAGACGGCGTCCAGCTGTGCTTGCGGAATATATTAACAATAGATAAATTCAAGATTTTGCTTTTGCTGTAAACTTTACCTTGCCCAACTAAGACTATCTCATGTAGCCAGGTATTTGAGTTTAGGTAGTGTTCTTTGTAGTTTTGGCTATTTACTGATGAACTCACATTTTCATAATTCTAACCAACAAGCATGTGACGCCATATTTAATAAAATTTCAACAAATTTCGTGGTGAAATTGTGAAACAATTTATGTGGTACCAACAATGTTAGTACCATTTTATTTTTTAAATTTTTTTTTGAGTTACCTTTTTTTAGTTTATTTTTTAGGTTACCTTAGTTCCAAGTTGGGTATTATGTTTTTTCACTTTTATATGTACCTATTAGACAAATAAACCATTTAAGTTCAATGAATTTTTTTTTGGGGGGCACTTTGTGAGACATCAGTTACACGTGCTCACGACTAGGGGGGTGAATTTAAGACAAATCTAATGAAATTAGTCCCATTTGTATCTAATTTGTGTCACATTCTCGGCCCGCTAAACGACGA